ATCAATAGGATTGGGTCAGATGGGAAGATATATGTATGGATATGTATGGAAAAAGAAGGGAGATGGCCTAACAGACGAGAGATTAATGGACTGTTAAGTTTGGAGGAGGTTCTTTAATGGTATGGGGCTGTATGGGATGGAATACTGTGGGAATGCTTGCTGAGGTTGAGGGAAGATGTAAGGAATGGTTTGAAGAAACATAACATCAATGTTCTTGACTGGCCAGCACAGTCTCCTCCCTAAAGGAGTATAGAGGCAGTAATTAAAGCCAAGTATCCAACTCATTCCCAGATCCCCTTCTGCTGTGTGCTCCACACCTCAGTAGGATCGACTATGCTCCAGATTTACCCCTGAGCTCCGGACCTCCGGATCTCCACTGCTAGCCTGATCCATACCCCCTGTCCCATCCACCCTATGCACACTCCATCCAGCAAGACATCTGGACTTCACCTCATCTTGGATTCCAGACTATATCCACCTTCTCATATCCCGGTCCTGCATCCACCTTGTCTGCCAGATCCCCAGATCTCCGGACCTCTGGATATTAACTCTGGACCTATTCCCACCCTCTGTCCAATATCCTGCGCCTATCCCCATTTAGGCATCTCTGCCTTTCCAGCTTTTGGTTACCTCTTGTTCTGTCTTGCTTATGGATCCTTGTACAAGTCTTCATCTCTGAGTTCATTTACTTATGTTCTGTCTTACTTACTATAATGTGTTTCCACATGCTTGTACATAGCCCTGCTCCTTTGCTTACTGATCCCCTCAGATATTCTCCAGTATATAACCCCTGTAGATACTCCTGTAGTTTCCTCAGTTTGAATATCATCTTAGACTTTGCTCTACCTGCCCAATCCTCTCTTGGACTTTGGTTCACCTAAGTCTGTTCTATCCATCAGGCCTAGGGATTGATTCCCTAGGCCGGAGCTCTGCCTTTCCGGCACTTCCCCTCTTTCCAGACTTAGGTCCAATCCCTGTCCCTCCAACTCTACCTTAGGGTAGTCTACCTCTGTTTGTTTCTACATCGGACTTCATCTGATGTAGCCCCTATTCCTTCCATACCTTCGGATCCCATCAAGCCATTTGATAAAGTTTGGCTTTCCAATGGGTTGGGATTCATGGTGGGAAAGGACAGGTATAAAACACATCTTGCAGAGGCTGCTGACACTTTGGAAAAATCAAGCTGCAACAATCACCAGGTGGTAAATCAAGCAAATGTGGCTCAGCACAAGCTGGAGTCCACAGGTATTGGGGGAGTTGCCTGTGCCAAACACAGTTGCTTTGTCCCTCACTCAATGGTAGATTTTCAGAAAGGTGAAAGGCAAGCCAAACATGCCATTCAATATTCATGAGTTAATTATGCATCATTTGCAGACAAATGAACATGGACTATGCCCTTTGTGAGGCTGCCCAGCATAACATGGAAGGCATCGCCAGGGCTGTCACCTTCTATGATATCAACTATCAATACAACAAGCACTTTTGGGTTTGGGTGGATCAAAGCCAATTTCTCAAAATGGTTCCAGAGTTGACCATTATTCCCAGAATCAGGTTGTGGCATGTCCATGGACATCAGGACAGCTACTATGTCCAATATGTGTTGAATTTTATTGAAGGCATCAGTCGGATCAATGGAGAGATCATAGAGATCCTATGGTCACATCTCAACCTGATTTCCCCTGCTGCTTGGGGAATGTCTTGATTATCAGATGAATGATTCCAATTTCTGCAAGATGATCTGCATGAAAGGGTATATACTATAGGTATCTAACAGAATGATCAATCAGCAGAGTCCGAGGCTATGTACGAAACATATGGATTGTCTATTGGTAAGTAGAAATGGATCACAAATCATGAAATGGAAATGAAGCATAGGTAATGGATCAGGGAGCAGGACAGATATACAGATAACCAAAATACCGGAGTTAGGGGATTACTGAAAGGAGACAAGCGCTGGTTGTGGATTCAGATGAATTGTGGACCAGACAAGACAAGTGGACAGATTGGATGATGAGATGTTGGAGGGAGATAAAATGTGGATTGGATCTGAGATGAGATAAGGATCAGATCTGAAATCCGGATATGCAGATATGACACCAGCTGTCTATAATATATGTCTATCCTACTCTACATATTACCCAGATGGGCCCACCCATCTCCATCAGTAATAATATTTCTCTCAGCCCATCCGCCATCATTGAGGATATTTATAGCATCAGCATAGATGGGCCCACCTGTCCCCATCAGAAATAATATCTCTCCTGGCCTGCATATTGAGAACCTTACCACATTCCTTGGTGAGTTGAGAGTGAAAGCTGCTCGAATGCTGGAGTGAGAGCATACTCTGTGGACCCAAGCAAAGGACAATCAAAACAAGGCTGAGTTTGATTCTTGCCTGCACTTTAAGGCTGCCAAAGCTGAACAACAGCATGCATATGTGCTCACTATGCTTGAACAGCAAATTGAACTGCAGCATCTGTAAGCTCAACCCAACTTTGCTGGTCCCCCACATCAGAGTGCTCCCCCTCCCATTCTGGACTGTCTATTCCATGGGCTGTTGATCTATATCTTAACTACCTTGTCTTCTACTGACATCACTAAGTTCCCACTCCTGTCTATGACTACTAATTAATATCCAGCCATTCGAGTTATTCCTCTTTCAGAGTCTCTTGTTTAATCTTTGCTTCCAACAGCAGAACTTCACTGCTTTGATCCCATACCCTTTCAATATCAGCTGCTCTCTTTCTTTGCTTTTGTCACCACTCTCATTCTAGTTCTCATTGATCCTTGACATACTTGACTCCACTCCTGAAAAATTGATTGATTGTAATGTTGCCCTTATCCTTGTGTTGAATTGCAAAGCTGTGCAAGTGAATGCAGGTAGTAACCCAAAGTCCAGCATACAGGATCCCTTTTTGACCACCAATGTGAACCTGCAAACCTTTCAAGGATGGATAGACCTTAGAGGGTTACAGATCCAAGAAGGTCCAACAATGGCTAGCAGCTTTGATAACATCAGAAGTTCTATGGAATGCTATTACTGCTGTGGTGGCACTGGATCTTTTCCAAGCTGGCATCTCTGCATTTTCTAATGTTATCAAAGAAGCTTGGAAGCCAAAAAATAAACCCTGCCCTAGTGGAATCTTGGCCCTCGGTCTTTTCAGGGCTTGAAATTATTGCTAATCACATCACATTTAGCCACAGAGATGGTGGTGGATCTCCTTCCCTTTTGGATCTTCTGGTCAGTCTGGGAAGAAACCATCATGCAACATTGGCCTTGGCAGATCTCAATGCAGAGCTTGATTATTCACCTGGAGCAATGGTCTATATTGTGCTGGAGCACTTTGTTGGTCCTTGGGGTAATGGAGAATGGTTAGTAATTGCCCATTTCATGAAGGTGTTAAGGTCGTACTCAAGGCTAAATGGATCCAAAGGGCTTCAGCCTCAGCTTGTGCACTGCGCCCCTTACTCGAGTATTATCCCTTATTTCAGGAAGGCAAGACTAATGCATCCGAGAGTTGGGTGGGTAGCATAGCAGATCCGGATGACTTCTGGATGCAGGATAAGTATTGTAAGGCTAATCCGGAGAAGTCCAGACTAGAAACTAGTGGTAGTGACTGTCGTAGACAGAGGTGGATGCGGTTAGACTATAGGAATCAATCCTAAGTCTCGGAGGGTGATGAGAGTAGTGGTACTCAGGTCCAGAGGACAGGAATGAGCAGAACTAAGTTGATATTCAAACTGAGGTGCTACAGAGAGTTACAGGAGCTTATATACTATAGGTATCTAACAGAATGATCAATCAGCAGGGTCTGAGGCTATGTACGAAACATGTGGATAGTCTATTGGTAAGTAGAAATGGATCATGAATAATGAAATGGAAATGAAGCATAGGTAACGGATCAGTGAGTAGGCCAGATATATAGATAACTGAAATACCAGAGTTAGGGGTTTACTGAAAGGAGATGAGCACTGATTGTGGATTTGGATGAGTTGTGGACTGGACCAGACGAGTGGCAGATTGGATGATGAGATGTTGGAGGAAGATAAGATGTGGATTGGATCTGAGATGAGATATGGATTGGATCTGAGATCTGGATATGTGGATATGACAGAACGATGCTATGCACAACAGGGTGGGAATGCCATGGCCAGCTTTTCCCATGCAGAGCTTCTTTTTAGAGTTAGTAGGAAGAAGACAGAAGGGGAAGAGACAGAAAAAGGGTAGACAATAGTACTGGGAAGTCCTGAAAATATTTGTTTTTTTTGGGGGTTATGTAGTCATGCCAAAATTCATGTTGCACTCCAGCCTTTGTGATCCATAATCTCAATGAGCTCAAAAATCACCCCAAGGCATCGTAATAGGCACAGAGTAGCTCCATCTTCATCTGATACTCATCCAACAAAGAGAAAATGAGGTGCTTCCAAATATACATATATCTCATTAAAAACTCAGGGGGGAAAAGATACCTGGAGAGAAGCCAATGCTTCATTTGTTCATGAAGACTCTGACAGCAAGATAGAGCCAACCTCTCCAACAAAACAAAAACACCATCAAAATGTTCAAGATTATTCACTGGGGGAATATGACAGAGAGGTATATGGTGATTTTGGTACAGGAGGCTTACATGGTATCCAATGAAAGACTAAAGTGAGTTCTGTTGAAATCATTATTCTTGAAAACTAGCCAACATTTCAGACTCAAAATGATTTCCTCTGGGAATGCTTGCCTTGGTGAAATCAATATATTACAGTGTTGTTGGGATTGGAACAACTGATGTGTTTGCACATGGAGAAGGGGATACAATTGATGAGACAGAATCAGGATTGTCCAACCTGGTTATTGTGCACTCCACCAGAGTTTACTCACATCACATATCCTGGTGTCAGTGTCCTGGAGCTGAGAAGGACAAACATCTACATCTTCTAAAAGCAAAATTATTTCCTGCCAGCATCACTTGCCTCAATCAGCTTTTACCTTCAATGTTCTAGATAACTTCCTCATAGACACATTGGAGTGCAAGACCTCAGCTATGAGTTTCTACCAAAAGCTACGCCATTTTACCAATAATGCCTTTCCTCATAAAATATCAGTGAGCAATCAATTTATTATTGTACCCCTGGCTTACATGTTAAAAAGAATCACTACCATGAACTTATGAGAGTTTCCTGTACTGTAGAGCTACAACACTAGGTTTGTCACAGGTCACAGCCCTTGACGAATCAAATCTATTTGGTGTGACTGTCACATGAATTTTGGCGGGACAAAGCTAATTTGTGACATTCAGAAAAAAACATAGGAAAAACATAAGTTGTGCACTAATGGGACCAAAAATCATTATACATCGAATTTGTGATGCATCTATGCTTTCCACTCCCATAATCAACCTTTGGAACACTGTTCGAGCCACCTTCCACATCTGAAGCACGACCATTGAAACAAGCCTGACTGAACTGATTGAGGAGCTGAGTGACGCAATGGAGCAGAGGAATTGACCATGCTGTGAAATCATTGGAAAGGCTGAGGAGAGGGGGATTTGTTGAAAAAATGATGGTGTCTGAGCTAAGATCACAGTCCAGTGATGCGCAAAGATCAATGTTGAGTAGCTGCGTGACAGACAGAGTCTGAGATGGGATGGTTGGCTGCATTGAAGTCGGGATGCTGAGTAACTGTTTGATCTCACATCATGCAGAGGGTGGCAGTTTTCTCTGGTCAAAAACATGACCATGTGAGAGTGACTCTGAAACAGTGAATGTATCAGTTTGTGACAGCATGACAGGCACTTGAAAATGGATCATAGACTCACCTGGCAGGCTTTAAGGCCACAGAGTCTCCAAGTCCACTTGTTACCATCATTAGCACTATGCGAGGCGAATCCTGAAGCAAGTTGTCACAATCACGAAGCAGTGGCATGTCATATGGTTGCAAGCAGTGAAGCATCTGTGGGCAAATCTATTTGGGTGTGGTCACAGGTCACATGGACATTCGAACCAGTGACACTGAGTATGACATAATCACATGCTGCACGTGATGAACCTAGTGTTGTAGCTCTACAGTATATGGAGAGATTTGGTTAATAGAATTCAATTTGGCTTTGGACACAAGACAGACAGATCTCCTGGTCCAGAGGATTTAGGTTGCATTATTGACAATGACAAACTGAGCTCATCTTTGTGGTTGGCAGTTGGTTAGTTCTGCAAAGATATGTTGTGGGTGGAAATTTTACAGCACAACATATGAATATGAAGACTCCAGAAGATGATGTTTCACTAGCAGATGAAAATGGATACATGGTAACAGAGGGACCTTATCAAACTCACATAACAGAATTGATTGAAGAGAAAGAAGCAAGTTTTGTATTTCATGACATGTTTCCTTACAAATGTGGTCTGATATAATTTCAGAAATTGTCTTGCAATAATCACTGTGCTGTGAATGCAGCCAATGTCCAGAGAAGTAACCTAAGAGTCACAGGGGTTGGGGCAACAGCATGTGCTAGGCATGGATGTTTTGTTCCCCATGCAGTGGTGGACTTCCAAAAGGGAGAGTGGTCTGTGATTCCATTGTTATATTATGACCATGGGCTAACTGTGTAGTCAGGCAAATGAATATGGACTATTCCATTTGCAATGCTTTGAAATATCCATCAGAAGATATTGGCAGTGCACTCATAATCTATGATGTTGCATGCCAGTGGAGTATCCACTTCTGTCATATGCCATTCTGGACTCTCAACTCTAAATCCACTTCTCTAGATATCCAGATCCAAGATCCAGATCTCCAATGATCTGATCTATTGTTATCTCCCTTCCAGAATCCAAACCTTATATCAGCACCCAACCCCATTTAGACTTCCCCTGTCTCTGGACTCCAGTTAACTATGTTTCCCTTCTGATTACTGATCCATTACATACATTTCATTTCTGGTATTTGTTATTGGTAATCTGTCCTACTTGCTAATAGACTTTATATATGCTTTGTACATAGCCTTTGTGTTTGCTGACTGATTCCTATATGATATATACAGTATATAAACCTCCTGTAACTCTTAGAAATACTCCAGTTTGAATATTATCTTAGTTCCTGCTCATTCCTGTATCCTCTGGACTCGAGCCAAGTCTCTTGTCATATTCTGAGTCTTAGGATTGTATCCTAGACTACATCTCCAGCTCTACCTTAGGGTAGTCTATCCCCTGTTAGTTTCTAGTCTGGACTTTGTCCAGATTAGTCTTATCTGCTTGTCCAAGTAACATCTGGATGTCTGTTGGATTTATCTCACATTTCAGATCCAGATGTCCATTATCCACCCTAGTCAAAACCTGGAAACTTTGGATGACTGTTCTAGCCCTCAGAAATTAAGGGCACATACTCAGGAAAGGGGCACAGCATATGAGCTAAGGCCAAGCCCTTGTGATCTGACCCCCTTGAGCATGCAACCTTAACAGTAAGTAGGAAAGGATCACTAATAATGAAACGGAAATGAAGCATAGGTAATGGATCAGTGAGCAGGACAGATATACAGATAACCAAAGTACCAGAGTCAGGGGGTTACCAAAAGGAGATGAGCACTGATTGTGGATTCAGATGAGTTGTGGACTGGACTGGATGAGTGGACAGATTGGATGATGAGATGTTGGATGGGGATAAGATGTGGATAGGATCAGAGATAAGATGTGGATTGGATCTGAGATGAGATGTGGATATACAGATATGACAGCAGCTAGCCCTTTTTTACATGCCACAACAGCAGACCAGCCTATGTGGTATGAGTCACCAAAGGTCTGGCTGTCCTGCTCTGACATGCTGCAGAGGCAGGGCTGGCTGATGTGGTATGGGTCACAAGGGGTGTCAGCTGTCCTACTACTACATACTGCAGAGGCATGGTCAGCCTATGTAGTAGGGGTCATGAGTGGGGTAGCTGTCCAGTTCCTACATGTCATAGAGGTAGGACTGGCCTATCATGTGGCAGAGTGATGCCTCCTCACATGTCCATGACTCCCACTAAAACCCATTCAGCATCTCAGTCTTCAGCTGATTCAAAAATATCGATCAATTGGAATTTGCAACAAGCAATCACTGGCCCTGCCATTAGCTTGAATCTAAGGTTGGTGTCCATTATTGTGCGCTGCCCTCCTTTGGCTGTGCCCTGGCCCATTGAACTCCACCCTCTGCGTTCCATGCACCCCACACCGCCAGACATGTGAATATCACTGCAACACTGTTGGGGGCAATGACTGACACTTGGGATTCAACATAGGCACCAGCTTCTGTTAGAGGCAGTCGTCTCTATTTGCATGCTAAGGGGAATAGAGGGGATGGACAAGGGCATGGTCAGAGTAGTGGTGCATTGGCTCCCGACTTCTAGAGTGTGAATGACTAATGGATCCAGAGATCTAGGGGTAAGACATCAGACATCCAGATAGGTCCTAGAATCTGGAGGAAATATGGATGTAAGGCTAATCTGGACAAAGTCTGAACTAGAAACTAACAGAGATAGACTATCTGAAGATAGAGTTGAAAGTATGGACTTATAGGAATCTGTTAAGGTCATGTGCTCAAGGGGGTTGGATCACGAGGGCTTGGCCTCAGCTTGTACACTGTGCCCCTTTTCCAAGTATGTGCCCTTAATTTCTGGGGGCTAGAACAGTCGTCTGGAGTTTCCAGGATTTGTCTAGGGTGGATAATGGACATCCGGATCTGAAACATGAGATAAATCCAATGGACATTCAGATGTTACTTGGACAAGTGGATAAGACTAATCTGGATGAAGTCTAGACTAGAAACTAACAGGGGATAGACTACCCTAAGGTAGAGCTGGAGGTGTAGTCTAGGATACAATCCCAAGACTCAGAATACAACAAGAGACTTGGCTCGAGTCCGGAGGACACAGGAATGAGCAGGAACTAAGATGATATTCAAACTAGAGTATTTCCAAGAGTTACAGGAGGTTTATATACTGTAGGTATCATATAGGGATCAGTCAGTGTCATATCCCACAACCTGGACCCATGTTCCATCATATTCCCACGCCTTCTGAGCCTACATCCGGACCACACTTTGTATCCAACTCATTCCCAGATCCCCTTCTGCTGTGTGCTCCACACCTCAGCAGGATCAACTACACTCCAGATTTACCCCTGAGCTCCAGACCATTGGATCTCCACTGCTAGCCTGAACCATAACCCCCTGTCCCATCCACCCTATGTACACTCCATCCAGCAAGACATTTGGACTTCACCTCGTCTCAGATTCCGGACTCTATCCACCTTCTCATATCCTGGTCCTGTATCCACCTTGTCTTCCGGATCCCCAGATCTCCGGACCTCTGGATATTAGCTCCGGACCTATTCCCACCCTCTGTCCAATATCCTGCACCTATCCCCATTTAGGCATTCTCTGCTTTCTGGCTTTCGGTTACCTCTTGTTCTGTCTTGCTTATTGATCCTTGTACAAGTCTTCATCTCCAAGTTCATTTAGTTATGTTCCATCTTACTTACTAATGTGTTTCCACATGCTTGTACATAAATGTTGCATTGGATATTTGCTTACAATCACTGGCCCATAAACCATTGATAGAAGGAGCCATTGATCGGCCATCAACGAGCCTCCTGATGGCATTCCTATATCTGTCAGTAACTTACCACATGAGCCTGGTACAACAAACTTGAAGTGTTATTAGAATTGAATATCAATAGAGTAAAAAATTGTTATGTCTGCAAGCATCTCATGAAGGACTTCCAGCTCATGATTTGGTCATAAGATTTTGCTCTGCACCCATATGTTATAGAAATGAGTTTTAATGAAGCCTTTCAAGTGAGATATAGCATCAGCGAAATGACATCCAGACAAGAGAATAAGGCTTACCAAGGAACAAATTGTGCATTGGATCAATAACAATCTGTTTGTCATATCCCACAATCTGGACTCACATTCCATAATATTCCCATGCCTTTCGAGCCTACATCTGGACCTCACATCTGACTCATTGCCAGATCCCCTTCTGCTGTGTGCTTCACACCCCAGTGTCATATCCCACAATCCAGACCCACGTTCCATCATATTCCCACGCCTTCTGAGCCTACATCTGGACCCCACTTCATATCCAACTCATTCCCAGATCCCCTTCTGCTGTGCGCTCCACACCTCAGCAGGATCGACTATGCTCCAGATTTACCCCTGAGCTCCGGACCTCCGGATCTCCACTGCTAGCCTGATCCATAACCCCCGGTCCCATCCACCCTATGCACACTCCATCCAGCAAGACATCCAGACTTCACCTCGTCTTGGATTCTGGACTATATCCACCTCCTCATATCCTGGTCCTGTATCTACCTTGTCTTCCAGATCCCCAGATCTCCGGACCTATTCCCACCCTCTGTCCAATATCCTGTGCCTATCCCCATTTAGGCATCTCTACCTTTCCAGCTTTCGGTTACCTCTTGTTCCGTCTTGCTTATTGATCCTTGTACAAGTCTTCATCTCTGAGTTTATTTACTTATGTTCCGTCTTACTTACTAATGTATTTCCACATGCTTGTACATAGCCTTGCTCCTTTGCTTACTGATCCCCTCAGATATTGTCCAGTATATAACCCCTGTAGATACTCCTGTAGTTCCTTAGTTTGAATATCAACTTAGACTTGCCCAATCCTCTCTCAGACTTTGGTCCACCTAAGTCTGTCCTACCCATCAGGCCTAGGGATTGATTCCCTAGGCCAGAGCTCTGCCTTTCCAGCACTTACCCTCTTTCTGGACTTAGGTCCAATCCCTGTCTCTCCAACTCTACCTTAGGGTAGTCTACCTCTGTTTGTTTCTACATCGGATGAAGTCCGATGTAGCCCCTATTCCTTCTGGACCTCCAGACCTCCTGTCCCTTGTACCTCCAGGCATCCTGTCCTTCGGACATTCCACCCTCCGTACCTTCAGATGTTCTGTCCTCCTAACCCTCGGATGTCCTATCCTCCTGCCCTCTGTACCTTCAGACATCCTGTCCTTTGTACCTCTGGACATCCTGTCCTTCTGTCCTCCATCCTCCTGTCCTCCAGACCTTCAGACCTCCTATCCTTCCATCCTGTTTCCTGTAGAAGTATTACCTTGCAGTGGGAACTCTCCTGAACACTTCCTGCATTCCTCCAGAACTCTCCTGCACTCCTCCGGATGTTTCCTGCACTCCTCTGGAAGTCCTCTAGCACTCTCCACCAGAGTAGCCAGCCTCCAGAAGTCCTCCGGACTTCGTTGGACCATCATCAGACCTCATATGAAATAAAGGGCACATACTTGGGTAAGGGGCACAGTGTACAAGCTGAGGCCAAGCCCCTCTGAGTCAGTCTCTCTCTCCCTTGAGCAACATGGTTCTTAACACTGTTCAACAAGGTTGAAATACAGAAGGTGAGATAACTGTGTGTAGTGAGTTGCATGTTCCTTGACAAAATTTGTGTGCACTTGGTGTGGTGAGATTCTGGTACTCCTCCCCTAATCTATGCTGCTCCACATCTGTTCAAGGTCTAAAACCTAGAAACTTTTCAATATACATATGTTAGGAATATATGAAATGTACCTCCTTTCTCAAATGCTTTTGGTTTGTCTTTATTGTAGATTGATATCCAACATATGGTGCAAAAGTGAGTATGTGAGTGAGATGTGAACCCTCCAACTTTATGTGCTGCAGGTTTATTGCACACAGCAGTAACAAGAATCACATGCATGAGATGTCCTGTCGGACATGACTCTGTGGGAATCTTGATCCCATCCTTCCAATGATGAAGCAAGTCAGAGACAATTGGACATA